TGTTTATCCTGCTACAAATCATCCGCTAAGTTTGTCTGCTGGTGTGTTTGTATGTGTGTTTGACCGGATAATTGTTACTTCCTTCGATTTCATCGCAAGGAGTTCAAAGTTATGAGTGATGTAGGAGATGGGACAGGAACACTATTGGTGGGTGGCAGGAAGTGATAGCAACTGATAATACCATAGAGGGTGTTAGAATATGTAGGTCACTAATCTTGGGCCACAGCAACCATGGAACATTTTTTCAATGGGTGGCAGAAAGTGATAACAAGTGATAATATACCATAAAAGGCATTGGAAGTGTTGGTTCACCATACTCCTACTTGGGTCACTGCGAAGGCGTTGGTTCCAGTACGTGATATAGGGAATAGGTTGGGATCAACACTGGTGGTTGACGCAAAGTGATAACAGCTGACAATTCTTCTATTCTATAAAGCAAAGACTTTGTGTGTCGGTTTGTCGGTATGTATGTATGTTTGTATGTCTGTCCGTCCGCAAAATGCTTCACGGGATTAAACAGGTTAGATGAAAGAGAAAACGACCGCTAGACAACCGGAAACCAATTCCGCTTCTGCTCGTACCTCAGAATTCTTCAGATAAGTTTTGTAGCGCGAATAGCGGCGCCAAGAGCAGCTGTCATAACGACTTATCAGAAACATGAAGAACCTTCAGCGCCGCGGGGCCCTGTCGCTATCAGCTAGCTCGGTCACAACGTGAAAATTGTTGGTGTGTGTAAGGCTATAGCACAAAATGTCATCGAGCTGATTCAGCAAGAATGGCCGCGGGAACGCAAAGGATTGCGCGGTTCGTGGGAGATACTGATAGATACGAGAGAGAACTGTTCCGACTATCATACCAAAACGACGTAAGACTGCAACAAATTGAGTCAATCATAATACCACAGCTATCAATATCCCTTCAGAGGAGTGATTCCATTTATGCGTATGCTTTCGCTACGACGCGTGTGGCATGGAACCCTACTTTCTCGATTTCTGAAAGTGCGCGCTCTCTCCGCCGCAACGTTGACCTCAATTGTCCATTTTTGCTGACTACCAAGCTCTTCAGCAAGGTTTTACGTGAGTTTCATGAGACATACTGCTCGGCTGAAAAATGTGGGCAGAAGAGTGAGCTGTAGCTTCCTAGCAGGATCCCTCAAAAAGGTCCTTCCGAGATGTATTGCGCTTGAAATAGTTCAACTTAGCGGGGTAAGGGTCAAACTAAAGCACATAGCGCGTAGCTGCAGAAGCTTCATTCGAACCGATCGCACTGCACTCTCGATGTTCGACATATCGTTACCCTTCGTGATGCTCCCTTTGAGTTTTCGATCCTCACTTCAATATTACCATTTCCATCTAATTCCAGTAATCTCATTACCATAAGGAACTCTGGTGCTTTCTGCGACGCTTTCCTATCGTCTACGCAGGCACAGGGGGTACATTACTATATTGCATAATGACCGCCTTTGATGAACTTCCTAACAGTGGGCACCTATCGGACGAACAATGGGGTAGAGTGACAAACGCATAATATGTTCCGCTCAAATCGATTTGAGAAGCGAAAGTCCTGTCAAAGTGCAGAACACGTGTACTACGTCGAACGCCCACAAATGGCTGCAGGATCACATCGCCGTTAATACTATTATAACTTCATTTATGGAAAACACTGGGTATGAAGCGTTGCTACATGGATATAGAGTGCATACAGGGTAGTCCGATGCCCTTTCATGCGGGATGAGCCTGGTGTGGGGCCCAACCCTGTTCTCCTTTGGTTGTTGAAGCGAGTAAGTGGCACGACAGTATCATTACGTGCATATGGTTTATTCTCTGCCCATTGTTGTCTCATTCCCACTTTAGCAACTGGAAGAGAACTAGCATTAGAGGTGTGTGAAACCTTCCTTTCCGCCATGACTGTTAACAGAATGTGATCGCGCACCAGTCTATGTTCACGTGAGGAAGGTCATTCAGGACGTCCCCTTTTTCAAAACCTTTCTGACATATCTAAAGGCTTGACATTTTTATTGGTCATTTTCGCTGAGCGGTTAAAGGAGCGTCAAAAGAGGAGTGAAAAAAGCGCGTCCACGCACTGCCATGGAATTTTGCTGAAAGTCGGTGCAAAATCATTGGCGCTGAAATAAGGGTAACATCGTAATCAGGACAGTAGGTTACGCCCATAAGCAGATGAGATTACTGAAATCAGATGGAAATGGTAAATTGAGGTGCGGATCGAAAACTCAAAAAGAGCATCGCGAAAGGCTTTCGATATGTCGAACATCGAGAGCGATTAGATGGAATGAAGCCTCTCCAGTTACGCGCTATGTGCAATTGTTTGAATAGGGTACAGCTTTAGTTGGGAATTTTGCTCGAGCCCTTACGACCCCCCCCCACCTTTTGGGGAAAAATATAGGTACACGTAATTCGAGCTAAAAAACAAACAGGGAAAAATGGGGAAGGGTCGTACCCCCCACCTTTTGGGGAGTTGGGTACGACCCTTCCCCATTTTTCACTGTTTTTTTAGCTCGAGCTAGGCATACCTATATGACGGCTCTAAGTTGTAAAGGCATAAAGTGATACCACTCAAAGTTTGGAGGAATACCTGTCAACTTTTGTGAAGCAATGAATACGAGGATGTGAAATAGCGAATGTGCTGATCCTCCCCCCTTCATGCTTGACAACTTGGAAGAAAAGACGAAACTGCGGACAGTACAACGTATATGTATCGATTCAAGAAAGAAGCGGAATTGGGAGAAATACAGAAATTCCGAAATGGCGAACAACGTCTTGATACGGATTAATCGCTTGGCCCACCAGATCTCTTTATTAGA